GTAAGGAAAGTTATTGCAATTTTTCGTTTTGAAAAGAAAGTTTTTGCCACTTTGGAATAAAAATTTGCTTTTAGTGACAAGTTATACAATGAAACCTGTTTTTTTTGGTTTGTAAAGAAGGTTTTTGCGATTTTTTGCTTTGTAAAGAAAAGTTATTGCCGTTTTTTAATTTGCAAAGAAAGTTCTTGCTATTTTTTGATTTGTAAATAAAGTTAAAACCATTAACTTTTAAAAAATCTATTTTTATAATTTGCAGCCTGCGAATGACAAGTTATACGATGAATAAATCAGCGACTAGTTTAATCCTATATCAACAACACCTTGACAAGATTGTTACAAAAATGGCAAACCTAATCTAAAATAAATTTTTAGGTACTATTATTCATACCCCTCTACTTCCGCCATCTTTTTGTTTTCTTTTTTACCACACCCTACTCTATTCTACCCTACCTCACCCTTCCATATCCTACCTGCCTGTTTTTTTAAGCTCTTACTATCATAACATTTCTTAATCCAAAACTTGACTATTTGTCTATTCCTAGTGACGATAATTACTAAAGTATATATAGACAACCCAAAACCCATCAAATCAACCTATAAATAGCTATAAATAACATGTTATGTACCGAAAATAACACTGTATTTTGAAAACCGCGTTATTTTCGCTCATATTTTGACAAAAATTTTTAAATTCCAGTTGTCGTTGTAATAACAAACAAATGTTGTCACTATTTACTTCATCTTTTTACTATAAAAAGCCCTACTGACCGGTCGTGGGTTTGATCTCTTATTTCGAAAAACATTCCGCGACGGTCAATAAACAAGTTGTTCTTCGGTTATCGCGTTTTACAACCCAAGTTTGTTAAACTAGAGAGAGTTACAACTTGTAGCTTATGGTCTGGTTTCAAAATGGTTCAGAGATAAACATAAAGATTGTTTTATGTTATCAGTAATAAATTATCATTTATTAAAATTTTTAGGTTGTGTGTAAGACTAGTATTTTTTACGCAAAACAAAAAATTGCATGAACTTTCTTTACAAAGCAAAAAATTGCAAGAAGTTTATTTACAGAACAAAAAATTGGAAGAACTTACTTTACAAAGCCTAACATTGCAAAGACTTTATTTATATAACAAAAAATTGCAAAGATTTTCTTTACCGAACAAAAAATTGCAAGAACTTTCTTTACAAAACAAAAAACAACAAGAACTTTCTTTACAGAAGAAAAAACAGAAAACATGTTAGCTTTATTGTAAAATACGCTTCTCGCGACATTGCATCTTTTAAAACTTCGGTATGAAGAGGTTTCATTATAAAGGGGTTTAAAATGCACTGTGTAATAATAGCCGGAGATTCAAAAATTGTTCGTTATATATAGGTGTCGTTATGTAGAGGTTCCTTATACTGTAGAGTACGAAAAGACATTTTTAACCTTACCCCTTTAGAGATGGACAATATAAGGGTAATGCCTATGCGGTATATACGAAGGTTTATTGACAATTCACGAGATAATAGACCAGAGAGCTCGAAGTGATGCAAAGACGACCGTTCACCAGGTCTGCGATCCCCAAGACTGATTATAATTCGTTGCTTAATTCTCAATAAGGTTCGGCTGTGAGTGCGGTCCAACTTTAGGCTTGAGTCACTCTACTTTAACTAAGCTATCTATAAATCCACCGACCCCTCCCCCCCCCCTCCCTCCCTCCTTACTCCCTCCTTGAGCTGATCTGAAAAAAAAATCCACTGGTAACACGTAAAAAATTTAAAAAAAAATTTTTTTTAATTGTTTTACAAAAAAAAATTGAAGCAACGTGTCTGGCTTCTAGTGCCTAGCTACTGTATCCCTTACTTTTATCTAAACTCTACCGTAGTAAAAAAATATGTTTGGCTTAACCAATATTGTCTTTGTAAAATAGGTTGAGATTAACTTTTGGTGTTAACTCTTCCACTCTTACACGAGGAACGAGCCGGGCCAGGTTCAATTTTCAGGCCCGATCCAATAAAAATCTTGCTAAAGCCCGACCCGGCCCGTTCTTCATTGTAAATCATCTCAAGCTTTTAAAAAGCCAATATTAGACCAAAAAACTTACCATACCCTAACTAAAGCCAGTACTATACCACAAAACACAAGATCAAGAAGCAAAACAATAAACGGATTAAAACAGTAAGAAAGAGTTACAAAAAACAGTCGTAAAAATGATTCACAACCGCGAGGTGTAGGGAAATGACGTCGCGGGAACCGGACGAAACACAATTAATTGCGCTTTCTTACGAAATCCCATAAATTACGTTTATCCTCCAACAAGGATAAGGTAAAGTTTGGTGTCATCTAATTTGTCATATAGTGGGAATGGTCTCAGAAGTATTTTTTAGCTTAAAAACGCAAAAACTTTGTTTACAAACTAAAAAATGACAGAAAATTTTTCACTAAGAAAAATGGCAATAACTTTCTTTACCAAACAAAAAATGGCAAAAACTTTCTTTACAAAACAAAAAATGGCAAGAACTTTCTTCACAAAACATAAAATGGCAAGAACTTTCTTTACAAAACATAAAATAGCAAGAACTTTCTTTACAAACCAAAAAATTGCAAGAATTTTCTTTACAAATTGAAAAAAACTTTTATTATGTTATTTTTATTTGACGTTGTATTTAGTACCGTATTTTACAATAAAACTATTCAAAAAGCAGCTCCTGATGTAATTAGCCGTTCGATCTGCCAACAAAATCAGGATTAGCTCGCCTAATGGAACGTGGAAGGGCAACCTTTTCACGTTCGAATCCGCGCAAAGCTTTTTCAATTTGCGTTCGAATTTCGCTGCAAATCCGTTCCACAAAACAAACATTTAGTTCTAAAAAAGATTACTTTAGGCTAAAAATAGAAGAAAAGATTAAGTTAGGCTTAAAATAGAGCTTTAAAGTGTAAATTACGATCATAGCTTGCAGTAATTATGCTAGTTAAATCTAAAAACAATTTTTGTTGTTTTTTATAAATTTTGTCTTAAAATAAATTGCAACATGACTTTTTTCACATTTGACAATGTAGAATAAACAGGCATGTGCTCAGCCCTACTCTGCTCTGTCAAAGTACATTAAGGCAAGGTAGAATAAAAAAAGACAAAGTAAAGTACAGTAAACCGGAGAGATGTACAGTAAAGAAGGGCAGAGTACAGCGAGACAGAATGAAGTAGGATAAGATAGGTTAGGGTGCAGTACAGCAGAATAACCTAAGGTAGATACGATAAGGTAGAGTAAGGCAGGGTAAGGTACCTTAGGATATTGTATGGTAGGGTATAGAGAAGTAAAATAAAGTACGGTAGAGTAAAGTAGAGTAGGGTAGGGTAGGGTAGGGTAGGGTAGGGTAGGGTAGGGTAGGGTAGGGTAGGGTAGGGTAGGGTAAGGTAGGGTAGGGTAGAGTAAGGTAGAAAAGACTGTTTTTCTTAAAATTTTTTAATGTTGAAATTTCAAAATTTTTTTAAAATTTTTAAATTCTTTAAAAAATTTGTATGTTTTGACACATGTCCAAATTGGCTCAAAATCAGTCGCAAAACGCGTTTAATTGAATATTAAGCCCCTATGGGCATATTTAGTTAATTGTGGCTTGAAAATGAATGGAAACGACGGAATTAAATTGGACTCATATTCTAATTAGCGGCTCTTTAAAAATAAATTTGTATCGTATTGGGGCGAAGATTAGGCTTGTTCTGTTCGTAATATTGAGGATTATGGTAATGGAAAAAAAGTTATTGCTATGGTTAGGCTTGTAAAGAAAGTTCTTGCCATTTTTTGTATTGTAATGAAAGTTTTTTCTATTTTTTGTTTTTAAAGAAAGTTCTTGCCATGTTTTGTTTTGTAAAGAAAGTTCTTGCTTTTTTTGTTTTGTAAAGAAAGTTCCTGCCATTTTTTGTTTTGTAAAGAAAGTTTTTGCAAAATTTAAAAAGTTTTTAAAAGCCATGAAATTTGACGTCTAAAAGTGCAAGCAAGCTACAGTACTCCACCTCAATTCCAGACCCATTTGTTGTTTTACCTCCATCTCGACACCTTTTTTCGTTTTCTCGGCCAAAACTTATTTGATTGGGTAATAAAAATGCGGTCGGATCAAAAGGGAAATCATCATAGAATTGGAAGGAAATCAAAGCATTTATTTAAAAGCCGCTCCTGATCTCGTATTTTAGTTTATTCGAATTAAATTAGATATAAAATTAATCAAAACCATGAGCTTAATGTCATTTTATGTTGAGTAAAAGGATTAAAAATACATTTTGTAGGGTAGGCTAGGGAAGAGTAGGATAGTTAGGGGCAAATAAAAAAGATTTTTGAATAGTTTAGGTAACAAAAATTTTAAAACCTTTATTTTTAAATATAAAAAATTGAAAAAAAATAAGTTTTCGATTAATCTGTTCAAATAATAATGTGCCCCTTAATCAATCAATTTTCGGGGCTTGCCATTTTTTTGACAATTATGGGTTGGGTAAGTTAGGGTAGAGTTATTTAAGGTAGAAAGAGATAGAGCGATATATGATGGACTAGTTACGGTAGCGAAGGGGCGGTGGGGTAGGGTAGTGTAGGGTAGGGTAGGGTAGGGTAGGGTAGGGTAGGGTAGGGCAGGGTAGTGTAGGGTAGGGTAGGGTAGGGTAGGGTAGGGTAGGGTAGGGTAGGGTAGGGTAGGGTAGGGTAGGGTAGGGTAGGGTAGGGTAGGGTAGGGTAGGGTAGGGTAGGGTAGGGTAGGGTAGGGTAGGGTAGGGTAGGGTAGGGTAGTGTAGGGTAGGGTAGGGTAGGGTAGAGTAGGGTAGGGTAGGGTAGGGTAAAGCAAATTTTTCTAAATTAAGGGGCACAAAATTATTTGAACAAATTAATTTAAAAATTAGAAAAATAATCGTTTTTTATTTGTAAAATACGTTTTTTTTAAAAAGCCAATTAGCAAAACAAGTTTAAAAATGTAAGAAAATGATTAAAAACAACATACAACAATATCAAAACCATTTTTAATATCATACATATCATTTTACATCCTTTTCGCCCTTAAAACCAAACGTTTTGGCTAAATTACTAGGATCAGACCACAAATTTAAAGCACTAAGATAATATGGGTGGATATAAGGCTTGGCAAACAAAGGTTCGTAAAGAAAATGTTCGGATTTTGGAGATTCTGAAGAACTTTTTGTATCTGAAGCTTCGGCTGAAACAGTTGGAGCACTTAATGGTGATTGGCCTGGGTTCAGCTTTTTCCATTTTGTGCGACGGTTTTGGAACCAGATCTTTACCTAAAATGAAAAAATTTAAAAAAAAAGTTTTTCTTAACAGATTTTATGTCCGTATTTTACATCTTGCCTTTGCCTTTGCCTTTGCCTTTGCCTTTGCCTTTGCTTTTGCCTTTGCCTTGCTTTTATTATTATATGCCCCCTATCATTTTTTGCCTTACCCTCATATCTTAATCTACTCAATCCTACTATACCCTATTTTATTCTGATTTACACACAAACTTGTTCTACCTTAAAATATTTTTCCTTAGCTTATAAAGCATTATCCATCTTTTACCTACCCTACTTTTCTCTTAAACAATAAGTTTTGCCTGACACTTCTTACAGTAATCTTTTTTCCCACAAAACGTTTTCCAAAATCAATCAAAACCCTAGTCAAATTTGAATAAAAAACATTGAAATTAATAAAAAGCGTGACGAATTACCTGATTTTCGGACAAGTTTAACGACATGGCCAACTTCATTCGCTCGCACAATGACAGATATCGATTGGATTTGAATTTGTGCTCCAGTGAGGCCAATTGTTCATAAGTGAACGCGGTCCGATTCCGACGTCGTTTCGATGATTTATTGGCGTCGGATGGGGTTGATGGTGTTGGTGGGGATGTTAATGGGGATGTTGTGAGTGGTAGTGTTGGTAATGATGGTGTGGCGGTCGATAAATTAACTGGGTCGATGTTGATAGAGGCTGGGGCTTCAAGTTTGGCCGTCTTTTGATTGTTATCAAAATTGCCAATGAATTCCGAAGTTTGAGGACATACTGTAGGTACTGTAGATACTGTAGGTACTGTAGAACTTGTTTTTGCAAGACTTGTAGACAAATCAAAGCTGCTTGATTTAAGTGGAATAAAATGTTGACTTAGAGTAGAAAAATTGTCCAAACTTGGCAGAAAGCTATCAGATATAATAGTACCAGCTTGATTTTTATTACTAGTACTAGTAGTATCATTTACCGTGCATGTGCTAATTTTTTCTAGATCAACCTTTCTTTGACTATCTTTTTTAACCGGCTTAAACTTAAAAATTGGCATAATTGTGTCATAGTCAGTAGTATTGAACAAATAAGAAGAGCTTGTACTGGTAGAAGTCGTGTTGAAGTCGACAGCTTGATCAGCTGTTCTATGGCAGTCTAGTAACGACGTCACGGTAAAGTTTTTCATTTTGTCTGAAAAAGCTGGTTATTAGAGTAAATTTTAAAGACTGTCACAAAAAAACGTATTTTACACGAATATTCCATATAATAACAAAGAAATTGCTACAGTGAAACTTGTGTATAACAGACAATATTTTATAAAGAGAAACTTTTGAGTTTCCGATTGGCGCTACAGAGTTCATTTAAAATTACTGTATAACAAAACTTCTATATGGCGAACAAATTTAAAACCCCAAGCGATTTTTCATAGAAGAGTTAAAATTACAGTAATCTACAAGGGGCCATTTCTATAAAGAAAATCCCGTGTAACAAACAAAGAAAAAAGTTTAAGGTTAGTTCTTGGGAACTTACATAATCACAAAAAATACTTTTTAAAATAGAAAAAAAGGTTTAAAAAAACATAAAAAGCTTTGGGAAGCGTCAACTATTATCCAGTATAACCCCTGTATAACAAAAGCTCCGTATAACATACAACTTCTAAATCCGGAGCCATCACTACAAAGTGCAGTAAAATCCCTATGTAACAAAACTTTTTTATAAAAAACCAATTTATACTCTTTTAGCGATTCTTAATGCAAGAGTTGTACTGTACATCAAACATGTTAATATACACCATTTTTTTACAAAAAACGTACAGTAATCTATTAAAAACAGCTTTAAAAACCAAATATTACGTTTTTTCCTCAAAAACATTTTTCTAAACTACAGTAATTTCCCCAAAAAACCACTTGGCATCTTAATTTAAATTGGCCAAATGATGAGCGACACGGGCCAAGTTGTTGTCCGCCCCGCCTTTCCTTAATTTTATTGTTAAATGAAGCCGAATGAAAAGAATATTTCTTGGCTTAAAAAATGCTTTAAAGACAAGACGATTATGTCAATTAGGTATTGAAAATGACAATTATGTTGGACAGTTGTGTACGATTACAAATTTATTAGTTTAAATGTGAGGTATTTAGTTTTAGGTGTATAATTAAGGAAATAGGCTAGTATTCTTTGCTAAATATAACATTTACAAAGGTGAACTTGTATATTGTTTTGGGTTTTATATTTTATATTGTACGCTTAGGTATAATAATATGGAAAACAAATCTTGATCATCTCGTCTTCAGTTTTCATCTTCTAGTTCAAAAATTATTCTAAATTAAACAGTTTCAGCATCAAATTTATTGTACAATGTTTGATAGAGGATTTGATGTCAGCACTGGAAACGAGCACGTGCTTTATCAATTCGGTCTGCGGTAAATTCCAGACCACTATGTATAAAGAAATGGCTTTCGTCCCACCGTTTATGCTTTTGAAGTTGAACGATGTAAACATGTGCGGTTTACAGTTTGGTCACACTTCAAATGGCACACTCTGGAGGAATAAGGGTGAATGTCGGAAGTTGGTGCGCGAGGGTGGAGCGAGTATGTTGTCAGTTCCGTGCTCTGATGAAAGTGTTTTTTACTAGTACATCATAGTAAAATTAAAAAATTTTTAAAAAATGGCACAGTTATAAGGAATACAAGCAGACACGTGCCAGACCTGCATCTCTTGAACTCCGACCAGGGCCAAAAGGACGTGGTGAAGCTGTAGATCAAGGTCAAGTTGTAGATCAAGGTCAAGCTGTAGATCAAGGTCAAGTTGTAGATCAAGGTCAAGCTGTAGATCAAGGTCAAGCTCTAAATCAACATCCGTCTATCATTAACTTCTTTTGTAAAATAAATGTTTTAGTATTGTGCTGGTTTTCATTGTGAATGGCTTTTTTTCCTGTGGGTGCAAATTTTACTTTTTATGGAGCAAGGGCTTTAAGTCGAGCCTAACTTTCAAGCCCGGCTCGTTCCTGTCTATTATATTGGGCCTCGACGTTAGACATGGGGAAGGGTCGGGCTTGAGCAAAAAATCAAACGGACCGGGCCTATAATTGTGGCCTAATTTTTTATTGAAAGATCATGTAAATTTAAGATGTTATGCAAAATTCGAAGTTGCGGTTTGCGATCAGACTTGATAAAATCAAAGTCAAAAAATTGCGTTTTGAACTTCACGCCAAATTGGTATAGTGTTTCAAGCTTTTAAGTGTCTCAGTTTTTGACTTTTCACTATTTTTCTGTAACATAAGGATAGAAAAGCTTCAAATGAACCGCCATTTTTAAATTTGTAAGCCTATCTTTTCTGGAACATCAAAAAAAGAGCAACACAATGCCAAATTTGCCAAAATGACGGAAAATTTGATTATATTAATTTTAAAACTTAATTGTTCAAAAGAAGCCATGGATAATATGAAATTGCTGGGTTTTTTACTTTTTTTGAAGAAACGAGACAAAATGCTAGTTTTAAAAGTTGTACGAGCTTGTTCTTCAGGTTTTGAAGTTAACTTCAGGCTTCGGTTTTGTCAAAATCCATTAAAAACACTAAATTTCCCTAGTTCATATTAAAAATTGATGAATAATATAAATTTTTCATTTTTTTATTTTTACAGAAATAATTATGCAAATTTGGATAGGCCAATGCTATAAAAGCCGGGGATTCGTTGGAATCGGCTCACTTTTGCTTTATCCCACGTTCAAGACCAGTCGTTATGAACTTATCAGGAGCATACGCGGCGATCCAAGCGCTAGCACTCATAAAGGTAGACGATGGTATGGAATTCTGCGTGGACTTCATCCCTTTCAAGGTGGCCAGCAAGTCCGTTTCTGCCTCGAAACACTCATATTGCTCTGGCAACTTGATGGAGGAGACGCGTCTAGAGTAAGTTATTGAGTTTGGTTTTTGATTTCGGATTTTAGTAGCTACTTACTGTCTGCCACTGTTACAAAGCCACGGATCTTGCCTCAAGGCACAGACATTCGCGCTGTCGTTCTGGTTGGAGAGAAGAGCACGGAGTAAGTTTTTGTTTTGTTATTAATTTTTTTAATTATATATATTTATTTGTAAAGTTTGTAAAATAACATACTGTTATTTTACAGTATGTTATTTTACATATTCTTTAGATAATACCGTATTTTTAGTGAATCAACTTCTGTCAATTTTTATTCATTGGTAAGAGGCGCTGCATCTGTTCTTTTGGGATTTGTCGTAAAGCCAAATGGTGGACTTGAGGCCAGCACTGCAAACGAGCACGTGTTTTACCAAAGGTGCGGCGAACTCAACACGGTACGCTACAAGTACATTGCTCAAGCCCCGGAGTTTGCTCCTTTGAAGTTGAACGACGTAAAAGTGTGCGGTTCACAGTTTGGTCACACTTCAAATGGCACACTCTGGATGGATAAGGGTGAATGTCGGAAGTTGGTGCTCGAGGGTGGTGCGAGTATGATGCCAGTTCCGTGCTTTGATGAAAGTGAGCTCATGTTCACGATTGTAAGTTTTTTGTTTTGTAGTAGTATTAGCGTCAAGTTGTGTGAAAAAATTTTGGAATTTATTTTAACTTTTTGTTTTAAGGGCAAGAAAAGTCGTTTTACTTTTGGCTGGTTTAAAACCTTGATTTGTTTTTGTTTTAGCAAGCGCTGGTGCACCGCAACTTTGACTTCAAAGAGCATTTCACTGAGGAAGAGATCAACACCACGTTGGCCTACGTCTACGTTCGGTAAGTTTACGTCAGTTGTTTCGTTTTGTGAGTTGTTCTTCTAAATTTGTTGATGAATATGCAGTTTTTGAAACTTTGTGTTTTGTTTTTCACTTTATGTTATCTTTTTTGGTTTTTGGAATGGATGTATAACTATACGTCTGTTCTTTATAAATATTATTTGGCTTTTAGCGAACAAGTTTATAAATTAGTTTTTATCATTACAGCGAAATTCCCACCTCTTCCACGCCAGGTACGGATGCTGTTGATGTGAGTCATAGTACGGCAAAAGAAGGGTCTACTGTCACTGAAGAAATATTTGAAATTGACGATGACGAGGAAGAAAAAAATGTGAGTTTTTTGAATAAAATGGATTTTTTAAAACCCCTCCTCCCCCCCCCCTCGGAAAACTTCTTTTGTATATAAAATCTCAAAAAAAAGCTGAACGTTGTTTTTTTTGTTTTTTTTTGTTTTTTTTTCACCGCCCTCTCTCTCCTACCCTCCCTTGTCCTCCACACTGAAATTGTTCTCTCGCTACTAATTAAATTAGTTTTTGATCTAGACTATTGATATTTTAGGCTAACGACGCTTGTTATCATCAGCGCGGTTCTTTTCGTGGTTATGTTATTTTGTGTCATCGGTATTGTGGTATATCTGTTCCTGAAACCGCAGAAAGTGGTCTACCCGGATCTCCCAACGCCTGTCGTAGAAAGAAGAAGACACGTGCCAGACCTGCATCTCTTGAACCAAGCCCAGCGCCAAAAGGAAGTGGTGAAGCTGTAGATCAAGGTCAAGCTCTAGATCAACATCCGTCCGCAAAATGACTTTTTTTGTAGAATAAAAATGTTTGTATCGTGCTCATTTTTGTTTTGAATGTTTTTTGGTTTGGGTGGGAGTGGTGGAAGTTTTGTTTTTTATGAATGGGGGGGGAATCGAACTTTTTTTTTATACTTGTTATCTTGGATAAGACCTGGCAGAAACTCAAGGCCGTAAGCCTTCAGCAGGTCTGATGCGCTTAGAATTGTAAAGAACCTTCAGTTTTGTATTGACCCGCTCGGCCTGCAGCTTGTTTTATGTATTACGTTACAGTGTTTTGCCTAGACCGTCCGATCCGGACGGACTGAATTGAAAAAACTTACGGACCGGACTTGAAAAATAGCCGTACCAGACCTGAAAAAAAGCACCGGGCTCGGTCCGCAAAAATAAATTCATATATTTGGGCGCGACGTGCGTTTTAATAAATGCTTTTTGAAAAGAAATCTGTTCTGTTTTCTGACCGTTTCTGAGTCTCAAAGCGAAAACAGAACCGGACCGGACGGCCCAAACAGGCCGATTTGAAAAAATTTGAACCGGACTAGACCGGACTTGAAAAATAGCCAGACCGGACCTGAAAAAATGGCCGCCGGACGGTCCAGGCAAAACACTGCGTTACAAAAAAAATTTTTAACTTTAAATATCAGAAAATAATGGTGCAAGTTTATATGTTATTCGACTCTACTCCACTTTGTTTTACCTTATCTTACTCTACTTCAATCTGTCCTACCTTACCTTACCCTAGTTCAGTCTGCCTTACCTTACCTTACCCTACTCTACTTTACTCTACCCTACTCTACCCACCCCTACCTTAACTTATCCTACCTTATCCTACCCTATAGTAACTTCATTTTACCACCACGATAAGCACAATTATTTAAATTTATTAAAACTTCAAAGTAAAATAAAAGTGTAATGTACATAGTGCGATCGTATGTCTGTACAGGTTCTTTTTTTCACATAACGAATCGACCAAGAGACCATTCAGCAAAAGGATACGGTAGACAGAAAGAGGGCGTAGGTTAATGGCAAGGTAAAATGTCAAAAGTATGGTAATATATTGCAAGATAATGAGAATTAAGGGAGTGGAAACAAAGTTTTTGCGAAAAAATATTTTTTTTTGTATAAACATCATTTTAAAATTCAAAAAAAGTTTTATATTCAATTTTTTAGTCAAATTTCAAAAAAAAATTCAAAATTTTTTAAAATATCAAATTTTAGGTAACAAAAACTTTGTTTCCACCCAAAAATGCGCAAAATACAATAAATGCGTACACCGAGTAAAATGTTTGTAATATACAACGTAATGTGTATAATAATTATGTGGAAAGAAAGTTTTTGCAAAACTCAATTAAAAAAATTAAGAATTTGCAAAAACTTTCTTTACAGTAAAAAATGTACAAAAAACTATTTTTAGGTATAAAATATGATAATATACAGTGATTAAAAGATTTTTTGGAAAGAAAGTTTTTGCAAATCGCAAAAATATTTTTAATTAAAAAAAAACTTTAAAAAATAAAAAATTGCAAAAACTTTCTTTACAAAGTTGAAAAAAAAGCTAATATGCGTAAAGTTAGCTAGTCGTGTAGTAAAGTCTAATTTTCAACAACTACATTACAGTAAAGTGTTATTTTTGGCTGCTTTTTTGTATAAAATGTACCCTCATCGTATAACATGTCACCTCATCGTATAAGATTTCACCTTACCGTATAAAATGTCACCCCAACTCAAAACCGCCAAAAACCATCTTTCACCGTAAAACAGTCATTTTAAAAACTAAAAAATTTTAAAAATAGCCATTTGGCTCGATCAATTTGTTCATGGTATCACCCGAGCCGGTACCATGTGCACCAGACCCCCGAAAGCGCCTTCGATATGAGATTCGTTGATATAGGCAATAAGCCGTCGTTACGATTGTCAAAATAGCCAGAATGCTGATGATTAAAGCAATGATATGTTGACATTCCAGAATGCTGTGGTCCACTTCAACGTGAATAAAGTTGAGGCCAAAGCGCTTGGTTTGCTGAAATTTAAAATTTTTAAAAATTTTTAAAATTGTAATTCCACACCCCCTATGAAGAGGGCTTGGTGGGCACTTTTGATTTTAAAGCATGGGTCGAAAATTCCACAGGGCTACCCTACTCTACCCCACCTTACCCTACCCTACCCTATCCTACCCTACTTTCTTACCCTACTTCCTCTGAGCTCTACATTACCTTACCTGGCCCGGCCCGGGCCCTACGATAAAACCGGGCCGGGCCGGCCTTGAGTTAAAAGTGAAAACAAGCCGGGCCTCAATCTTGGGTTACGTTTCTCACTACTAACCCTTCTACTTTACTCCGTAGTAACAACTCACCTCGTATAACCTCAAGCTGCCCAACGTATGCACAGCATCGTAGGCTGAAGTGTAGCAAGTGAAAATTTCGGTATGATGATGTTCAGCCAGCCGCCCACAAGCCATTAATAACCTCGCTTTGATTATGATTTGGTATGGTTCTGAAATTTTAAAATTTAAAAAATTTTTTGTAAAATACGATGTTTATAATTTTGTCCTGATAAGTAATGCCCACAAATTTTTTTCTAAAAAACTTAACACATATTACATCGTATAACATGTCACTCGCAAGCTGCTTAAAATATAAATTAGCTTTTAAAAAGTAGAAATTGCTAGAACTTTCTTTACAAAACAAAGAATGGCAAGAACTTTCATTACAAAACAAAAATTGGCAAAAACTTTCTTTACAAAACGAAAAATGGCAAAAACTTTCTTTACAAAACAAAAAACCATTTCAAAACTTTCTAAAATCATCCAAAAAGCCAAACTCACCAAAATCCTCATCTTCTACATCAATATCCCTGTTCTGATCAATCTTCTCCTTCATGCACAAATTCCCACTGCTTTTATAAATGGCTTTACCATCATCCAGCACTTCAAACCCACCCAAATGAGCCGCTTTTGTTAACACGTCAAGTCCATCATGTACATTCTGAACTCCTTGAGGCTCTGTCACTTCAAATGTCAGTAGAATCTCCTGTTTCGGCTTCTGGAATTCACAGAATTCACCTCCCTTATCCTCATTACAAACGCATTTTCGGCCGCGAAAACTTTCTTTACAATCCCCAACGCATTGACTTCGCCCATTGTGGCACAAATCTGCATACTGACAGTAGGTACCAAAACGGAATGGTGCACATTGACACGTGGCACCAGTTTGCTCTTGTACACATTGAGATCCTTCGAAACATGGTCGACATTTGATGTCTGGTACTGGGTGAAGATCATAGTAGTAGTCTGGTGTAGTCGAGGAGCAATTACATACTGGCAATTCGTCTGATAACTCGTTTGAAAGTGATAGCGATAAACAGATGGTGCAGAAGATCAAGGGTAACCTCATACTGAAAAAGGGATTGTAATACACTGAACAACCAGGTAGTACACAGTACGAGCGTATAGCACGATGTACGAAGAAGTAGTACTACGTAAGAGCAAAATACTTCACAAAAAGTAAAAAAAATCAGTTTCACAATGTAAAAACAATAAAATCGCAATAACTTTCTTTACAAAGCAAAAATTGTCTATAAAATTCACTATAAAAATAAAAGAATGCAAAAACTTTCTTTACAAATTCAATTTTTTAAACATTCCTCACAAACCTTAAAAAACGAAAACACGTTTTATCGTATAACCTGTCGTCAACAACCTGCAAAGTGCCACAAATCATGATTCAAAAAAATCTTACAAACAAGAAAGTGGCAAAAACTTTGTTTAAAAAAGATCAAATGGCAATAACTTTCGTTACAAAACATTAAATAGCAAGAACTTTCTTTACAAAACACGAAATTGCAAGAACTTTCTTTACAAGTCAAAAAATGGCAAGAAGTTTATTTTACAAATCAAAAAATGGCAAGAACTTTCTTTCCAAAACGAAAATTAGCAGAACCACACGTAAAACAAAAAACAAAATAAAAAAGAAGAAAAGATCAAACGCGTAGTTAAAATGACATTTCCAAAGTTGACTAATGTATACTTGTATAATAACTACTGTTTAAATTCCTATCAGACTTGAAAGGCGGTGATTCACAAAGATTTATGTACGTTTGGTCAATGTTTTGAAAGTTTTGACAGTTTCTCCGGGTAAAAGGGCAGAAACAAGTCATAGTTAAGATATATTGAAGGTGTCAGAAAAGTTTTGTCAATTTTTGAAATTAGTTTAAACGCATAAAATGGCAATAACTTTCTTTACAAAACATAAAATAGCAAGAACTTTCTTTACAAAACAAGAAATGGCAAAAAATGTCCTTATAATACATAACATAGCAAGAACTTTCTTTACAAAACAAGAAATGGCAAGAACTTTCTTTACAAAACAAAAATTTCAAAAAAGTTTTTCTCCTCCCCTCCCCTCCCCAATACCAAAACCACCCCTCCAACACAGAAATTGTAAAAAAGACACAAAATTTCAAAAAGCAGACATTTCCACTAATAATAATATCATAACATTGCTTTTATGATAACCAATTTCTAAACTATATATCAGAAGCGAAAGTAATCAAGTCTAATAAAAAACACGTGCCTCGGAATTCGAAATAATAACACGAAAACAAAACAAACATATTACTATTCTTCCGATCAAATTTCATGTTCATGAAAGTGCTATTTGAAAATTATTAGCAAAAATTTGGTCTTATATAAAAAAAATGCAAGAACTTTGCTTACAAAATGAAAATGGCAAGAACTTTCTTTACAAAAGAAAAAATGGAAAGAACTTTCTTTAAAAAACAAAAAATTGCAAGAACTTTCTTTAAAAATCAAAAAGTGGCAAAAACTTTTTTTATAAAACGAAAATTTGCAAAAACTCCCATAAGCACTAAAAACTCTATTCCAGCGTATAACATGTCACTCGCAGCCTGCGAAATACAAAAGCCTAACTTTCACAGTAAAAGCTGGCAAAGACTTTCTTTACAAAACAAAAACCAAACATAAAAACCAAAAAGAAACTTCAATTTGAGTAAATTTTACTCAGCAAAAAGAACTTTTAGAAGAACGCCAAGTATATTAATTTACAATAACAAACCACAAAGAGGAAGAAATCAAGAGCTCTCGAACTTTTAGAAAAAAAAACCTTTTTAAAAATCAGCTGAAAAGGAATGACAAAGGAAGAGAGTAAATAAAAAAATTAAGAAAAAAGTTTTAAAATGGCAAAAACTTTCTTTACAAAAACTAGAAATGGTAAGAACTTTTCTTAAAATTCCGGAAAGACCCATTTACCGTATATCTTGTCACCCGCAGCCTGCACAATTCAAAAGTTTTGTGATTTTGCATAAAAATGGCAAGAACTTTCTTTACAAATCAAAAAATAGCAAAAACTTTCTTTACAAAGCAAAAAATAGCAGGAAATTTCCAAAAAATAGCAAGAAATTTCCCTTTTTAAAAAAACGGCAAGAACTTTCTTTCCAAAACCCGAAATCTCCATTTTTACCAAAAAAAATCAATTTTACCAAAAAATCCGAAAAGAAAGTACAAAACTGATTGATTCGCATTTGTCTAGTAAATTGAGTTAAAAAGCAGTTCTGGTTGTTTTCCCCGCCAAATAGTGCATTTTTGTTTTTCACGTTTTCTTTCGATTCGACGTAAACCCTTTATACAATACTATATAAACAAATCTCACAAAAGTGCGCAAAAACAGCTGAAGGGTGGAGTGTTTTCGACAGAGTTCGAATTTCAATGAAAAAATATAAGAAGATCATAACCACGATTTTCAAATTTAAAATTTTGGTCCGGCTTTGGCTCCAAAGGCTGTTCTTAATGAATTTTAATATTCTCTGGCTGCGACTCCGCTTTTTTTTAATTTTAGCCCCAGATTAGATAGCAAACTGCGAAGGACAAGTTATACGATGCATTACATACTCTGTTCTTTTCATACATAATTTGAGGAATTCTTGCCATTTTTTGTTTTGTAAAGAAAGTTCTTGCCATTTTTTGTTTTGTAAACAAAGTTCTTGCCATTTTTTGTTTTGTAAACAAAGTTCTTGCCATTTTTTGTTTTGTAAAGAAAGTTTTGGTTATGTTTTTTATACAGAACGTTTTTGCAAATCTTATTGTCACAAAAGGAAAAAAAAAGCGAATTTTACCCGTATTTTGAACTTTTCAGCTCGCGCAGGTTTTACGACGAAACAAAGTTATGTTAGTTCAAGAACCGTAAAGAAAGTTTTTGCCATTTTTTGCCTTATAAAGAAAGTTTTTGCCCTTTCTCATCTTGTAAAGGAATTTCTTGCCATTTTGTGTTTTGTGAAGAAATTTCTTGCAATTTTTTCTTTTGTAAACAAAAATTTATCCCAAACTTTCAAAAATCTTAAACAATCAAAATCATAAAATGATTAGAATACCTATGAAACAACGTCACTGATCATCACCGTGATTAAAGGAAACGGAAATTGCAATTTTTCAAAGAAAACATTTTAAAATTCCTTGGCCTGAAAAGAATGACTCTTTTGTAGAGATGAACCACGTGATCGCTGATTGACTTTGTAAGAAGATTAGATTGAAGAAGACGGAAAAATGGCGAAAACTTTCTTTACAAAGCAAAAATGGCAAGAACTTTGTTTACAAAACAAAAATTTGCAAGAACTTTCTTTACAAAACTAAAAATACCAAGAACTTTCTTTACAAAACATAAAATGGCAAGAACTTTTTTTACAAAACGAAAAATAGCAAGAACTTTCATTAAAACCCAAAAATTTCAAAAATATTTTTCACTAAGGTGCCCTTCATTACAGTACGCACTCACAGCCAACATCCCTAATTTTACCACTGTACACCATCAAAACCCATGCTCACACAATATATACTGTCTGCCGCAACAAAACACAATTGTTTATATCCGTACAAGATCATTCTACATCATAACATTACAATAAAAAAGATCTCGGAAACTTTTTTGGTATTACTCATTTTCTGTTCCCCGCCTGCCTTCCACCCCCAAACATTAAAATATACAGAAGCTGAATCAGAAGTGGAAATTGATCTTAAAATCAGCTGATTTGGCTTTTTATTTGATTTTTGGTAATGGTAAAGTCATAGCCATAGCGTAAGCCAGAGTCTGAGCTTGCGTCTGAGCCTGAGCCTGAACCTGAACCTGAGCCTGAGCCTGACCCTGAACCTAACCTGAGCCCATTACCCGTCCTTATCTTATTATAACTTTACTACCCACTTTTACCAAAACATATTGTACTTTACCGATGTTAACATATTTTTTATACTTAGACCCCTTCACAGCTACCAACGACCAGCTTACAATAATTAATGTCAAAAAAACATCTGACTGGTTTGACTAACAGGCAACAACATTTTCTTTTTGCTCTTTTCGTGAGCACAAAGTAAAAAAAAACTTATGACAAACAAACAAACTTGAGATTACAAATATATTAATGAGATAGCACAGTCAGCTGATCTGTGTTTGTTTTTTGTCACTACAAAACAGGTATTTGGATAATTAATGCGGTTTTGGTATGGTTAGATAAGCAAATCAGTCATCGGGGGTGCAAGAAAGACAAAGTAGCAAGAACTTTCTTTACAAATTCACAAAATAGCAAAAAACGATCATTACAGCCCTAAAAAAGAAAAAATTGTGCTTTCCATTGTATAACTTGTCCACCGCAAGCTGCAAAACATAAAATGTAGCATGTTGTGACTGAAAACAGCAAGAACTTTCTTTACAAAATAAAAAATAGCAAGAATTTTCTTCACAAAATAAAAAATACCTAAAAAATGTAAAAAAGTGAAAAACGGCAAAAACTTTCTTTACAAAACACAGAATTGCAAGAACTTTCTTTACAAAACCTCACAGGTCTTAAAAACCTTTCCTTATCATATAACATGTCCCGCGCAGTCTGAAAACTTAATCTCGAAAACTAGTAATTAGCCATGAGCAAAATAACACGTGTAACCTCCCCACTCATATGACAACAACGTAACATATTATTGTACTTATACTACTCATTTTAAAAACAGTAACATGACATTAACGGAAGCAACAGCTAATTGTAGTGTAACATACAAATTTTGGTGGTAATGAGCATGACATATTGAGAGAATGTGGTTATTAATTATTATAGTTGTTTTCAAAACTGATGCTAAAAATTTCTGTTCAAAACAAAAAATGGCAAGAGCTTTCTTTACAACGCAAAAACGGCAAGAATTTTCTTTACAAAACGAAAAATAGCAAGAACTTTGTTTACAAAACTTAACATGTCAAAAAAATCATTCGTCGTATAAGTTGTCACCCGCAGTCCGCAAAGATATAACAACGCTTATACTAGTTGAAAATAGCAAGAACTTTCTTTACAAACAAAAACTTGTTTTATAAACCAAAAACCGAAAGAACTTTCTTTCCAA